GGTGGCGGTGGGGGAGGGGGGGTGGGGGGAGGGGGGAAGGCCTTAAGAGCACTGTCATCTCACCAAAAGTCTTCTGATCCTGACGACCTAGATCGGTCAGACAGTGCTGTTTTCACTCTGCTGGGTCTTGCCTCTACTGCATTGTTCCCTGAAATAGCTCAGCTGCTGTTTTGCTTGCTTTAATACTCTATCAAGGCAAAGATCTTGATTGAATCAGTTCCTTTAAGCATATGAGTAAGGGATGATGTAGCTAAAACCTGACTAGGCCCAGCGGGGGGCCTAGTGTTTTTGTGAATACTTAATTCAGTATATAATCATTTAGTCACTACCCCAGTAAGAAGATTATGTTTGATATTAAAAACTTGTTCTGTGTGTGTGCATCAGGGGCAGTGACACTTGACTTTCAGTGGTTTTGTGGGGTTTTCTCTCTCCTCTCTCCTGCAATATTCGTCTGGTTATAGAATCATAGAATAGAATCATAGAATCATTAAGGTTGGAAAAGACCCCTAAGATCATCGAGTCCAACCGTCGACCCAACACCACCATGCCCACTAAACCAGTTTCACCACTCTTTCAGTAAAGAAATTTTTCCTCACGTCCAATCTAAACCTCCCCTGGCGCAACTTGAGGCCATTTCCTCTTGTCCTATCGCTGGTTACTTGGGAGAAGAGACCGACACCCACCTCGCTACAACCTCCTTTCAGGTAGTTGTAGAGAGCGATGAGGTCTCCTCAGCCTCCTTTTCTCCAGGCTAAACAACCCCAGTTCCCTCAGCCGCTCTTCATAAGACTTGTTCTCCAGACCCTTCACCAGCTTTGTTGCCCTTCTCTGGACACGCTCCAGCACCTCAACGTCCTTCTTGTAGTGAGGGGCCCAAAACTGAACACAGTACTCAAGGTGTGGCCTCACCAGTGCCGAATACAGGGGCATGATCGCTTCAGTGATCGTGTTATGTGTTCCTCCTGCAATTTCCACTGCTCTAGAGAATGAAGTGGGTGGTTTAGCAGGCATGAATTAACTTGTCTGCCCAGCTGGCTGCTCCCAGAATAGGTGTGTGGGTCATCTTTTCTTATTTTGCCACAGTGAACACCACTGAGCTGCTTATTTTTCTCAAAAACGTGTAGGGATGTGAGTTGGTTGGTAGGTCCAAAAGTTACCGGATGGCAATAGGTTTATGCAGTTGTGACTTAGTAACTGTTGTCCAAGCTTCCTTAAGAAAGCAAGCTCAAAACTAATTGCAGAGTAACTGTCTGCATCTCTGACTAAGCTGGCCTTCACCTGGGGAGCTAATATTAAGCTTTGATTTGTGTAGTAGTATCCTACTATTTGTACTGTAGTATTTTTTTTTTGTAGGAGGCGTGCTCTGAATTTAGGAAGAAAGAAAATGACACAAACTGTCCTTGCCTCCTCTGCTGATAAACTCAGCTCCGTGGACCAAATGTTCTTTGCTCTCTGTTCTTTTTGAAGTCTGTTACTTGTTAGAAGTGTTTTCGCCAATAGTACAATAATACTATTTTATTGGAATGGTATATATTTTATTCTGTCTTGCTAAAAGAAAGAGGGACTTGGACTGTAATGTGATTCCTTGCAGAAGTGGCCAACTTATGTAAATAGTATCATTTATCAGTAGGTCTCTTGTTCAGAAATGTGCATGATCACAGCTTGTAAGGATGAGCTGTTTTAAAAGCTGGTGTTGGAGCTCAGACACACAAATGGGGCATATTGCCTCATTTGAGGCACATTGTTTCTCAGTGAGGGGAAGTCAGTCATCTTTATTTTGGTCACTGCAAGCCTCCCCTGTGTCTAGAAACATGCATTCCTCTGTGTTCCCCTTGATGCACTCAGGAGGAAGCTGCTTGAATTACTTAGGTATTTCGCAAACAATTTAACACTGGGATTCTCCAGAGAAGTGACTTCTATGTCAGACGGTCCTTGCACCAAATTTTCTGCAGCAGATGAACCTAGGCTTATATTCTACTCTGCCAAATTCAACCTTTCATTCAACAGTATCTTCAAAAATATTAATGCAGACAGAATTAGTTCAAGAAAGTAATTTTTTGAACAGAGAATAGAAAGGTTATTTGCGTGTGTGTGTAGGAAATAGTGTAATACATTAGTACTGTAAAATCCTGATGAATCCTAAGCCAATATTTGCCATACATTTCCTGCTTACTAAGGATAGATGCCACTAATGTAGTTGCTTGCAGTCATAGAACAGCCTCGAAGGATCATCTGGTCCAACCTTTCATAGGAGGGGGAGCCTAGATGAGGTGATCTAGGACCCTGTCCAGTTGTGTCTTGAAAACCTTCAGCGATGGGGACTCTACCATGTCCTTGGGGAGGTTGTTGCAGTGACTGATTGTTCTCACTGTAAAAAATTTCTTTCTTACAATGAGATGAAACCTCTCCTGGAATCAACACCCTCATACTCTTTGTGCTATAATGATACTGAGTGGAGGAGGAGGTAAAAAAGGGCAATATAATATCTTTGACATACTGAAATAGTTATAATGAGAATCTAGCTAGTTTCACTTTTTTAGCAAGACAAATTTAATAGTGAAGTTTGCTTATTTAAAAATGATTCTGTAGCATAGTGGAGTGAAAATTCTTGGCTCTTCCATCCTCGAAAAGGAACACAAGTACAAAAAGAATACAAGGAAAGTATTTAAAAGACCCAGTTTGTGGGTCCAGTGTGTGGGTCCGGTTGAACCTGTAAGAACAGCTAATCTGAGCCTTTTCCGGAGGGTTTCTCAGGAGGCTGCCAAGACCCTTGTGGCAGTCTGTCTGCTCTTCCCTACAAGCCCTGGGGCCTTCCTGGTAGCGGCGGCGGACTGCTGGCATTTTTGTTTGTCATATGACTAAACTTTTAACAACCCTCTCTGACACATGCCAGTCATACTGAATGATTGACGTGCACTGGTCATGTGGCTGTCTAACCAGTCATGTTCTTATGTGACTGACTGAGTGTCTTTCATGCGGTGATTAACACCTGTGGCTTTTGTCACGTGGCGGAGGTGTCCCTGCATGTGTGCTGGGGGAGAAGCTGGGTTGTAGCGCCCTTCAGTATCTTTGTCAGAGGTTGCGTGGTCTGTTGTAGCTCAGATAGGGCAGCGCTCCCTTCGTAACTTTACCTTAGCTGAAAAATATGTGGCCTCCAAAACTTAGCTGTTAACTGCTCACTGGGATTTCCCATGTCTTCTAGGCAAAATAATTTATTTGTAAATTAAAAAAACCCAGAAAACAAAACATTTTGATTGTACCCTTCCTCTTTTGGCTTACGTTTACTTGTGGAACCTTGCCCTTCTTTCGCTTCCTGAATTGTCACTCAGCAAGTGGCAGAAAATTGCAAAGGGGTGAAGTACGCTTCCCGCTTCCCACCCCCGGGTGAGTTAGCACTATCTGCTCCCTTTCCTTCTTCCGACAATTTTCTGTTTAAGAGTTAAATACAGGTAAATTTTGTCCTATTTTTCCCCCTTGTAGTATTACGACTGCACAGCATTCCTATCCACTTTCGCTGTTGGTATTTGGTAGCAATGATAATACGTATACTGTGTGTTTGCTTTGTTCTTGTGGTTTGTAACTGTTACATTGCGTAAGTTAATTTTGCCAGCTAACAGAATTATGTGATACGTGAGTAGCTGCTAAATATGCAATAATTTGCAATCTAAGCTTTATGCTATTTTACCTATTGTTTGTGCTCCAGTAATGTTTATGGCCCCAGTGAGGATTGTGGCCCAACTCTGCCAGATGCTGAAAATGTACCTAGATGGCAGTTGTGCTCAAATTTCTTTTCTGCGGTGTGTTTGTTTAATCTCTGCAGCTGTGGAAGGGAGGATGTAGTTGTTAACTAAAAGCAATCCTTGCATCTCATTTAGCTGAAATGAAATAAAATTCAAGAGAACAAATGAGCCTGAATCCAGTCTTTATTTCCTCTGAATGGATAAATGATTACTTTTGACATAGCACTAATTTCATTCCACAGCGGTGCCAAGATTGTTAGGGGGCTCTGTAATGTGTTGCAGCGACTTAGTCTGCACTAGTGATGAGATGCATAGGATGAGTCATTCTGATGATCTACACAGCCTGATTAAATATTGAAATCTAGCAATGCAAAACTTTTTAAAGAATTTGTTTTATGTTCTGTCTCTCTGTCAGATACCGTGCTTATGTGGAAGTGCCCCGTGCTTGCTCTGCCGATGCTGCCCCAGTGGAAACAACTCCACCATAACTCGGCTGGTTTATGCGTTCTTCTTACTTCTTGGCGTGAGTGTTGCCTGTGTAATGTTAATACCAGGCATGGAAGAGCAGCTGAAGAAGGTCAGGTTACTTCTTTGCTAGCATGTTTGGTAGAACAAATGTCACAGATAATTGTAAATGACATCTTGAAAGCATGGGTTTTCTTTGGAAATACGTAATTGTGCTGCCACCTGTGCTTCACAGTCACCGTTAATTTCACTGTAGGTCAAATAAACAAAGAACTCATGGGACAGTCACTGCATAGATGAAAAGCGCTATTTAGAAATAAAGTTGCATCTCTTCTTTAATAGCTCAGAGCAGAAAAAATAAAATCTTGTATCAAACAAGAAAATGTAACTTATGTATGTGGAGTTTTAAATTATATATTATTGAGATGCTTGTATTTGTGGCACTTGATTGATTTTGATTGCTGTTAATAAAAGAAAAAAATAACCACAATCTAAGATATGTCTTTTAGTTTCATTGTGTTGTACTAGTTAAAAATCTATTTTAAAGTCTGCAAATGCATAACAAAAATAATTCTCACTAATGATAGCATATTTTTCACTTAAGGAAATTAGGAAGTGCTTATAGGATTTTACAGTTTATTAGTTATATGAAGATACGATAGTGCGTGTAAAATTACAGAGTGATAATTTGAGTTATGGGAGAGCTTATAGGTTCACTGAACTCGGGTTGCATGTGCTTTGGTTCTGTTAGTCTTCGTTTTGCTGTCTTTATTTTTTTTCTAGTAGATAGTAACTTCTGTTAGGCATGCTTTTGATTTTCTTCCCCCAAAATGATTAATCTGTAAATGTTTATTTCAGTGTGGTATAGTAACCATGTTACAGCTTCAGTGAGAGCCATGTTAGTCATCTAGGGAAGAAAATTACAGCCTTCTGGAGTATGATTTGACTTCAAAAAGATGTTGCTCATGTCCTGGTAGTGACTGGAAAGGATATTCTCAGCTGTTTCATATGGAAGTTACAGATATTTCTAATTGATGGTGATGTTACTTTTTGAGGGGAGGCTGTTTCTGTTTTAAAGAGATGTGAGCAGGCTGCCTTCTCCTAGCTATGTCACGAACCTGATAGTAACTGTCAAGTCAAATTTACCAAATCCCAGATCTTTTATTTAGCTCCTGATTCAGATCAACAGGTGAAAACTGCATTTCTTTGAGAAGTTCTGAAATTGCTAATAACAACCCCCCCCTCCCCCACTGTTAATAAGATTTATTTTTGGTTTTGTTTAGAATTTGCCTATGCGGGATTTTTTCCCTTGAATGTGTTTAATATTCTGGTTGGACTGTAACTAGCAATGCAGCCCTTCAATATCATGTTTTCTAGCAATTTTAATAGTTGCATAATGTTACAATATTAATGAATTGTATATTAATAAATTGCTAATACATATTTACTCACAGGAGGCCTTTTACACATCACTGAAGTGTCTTGTATTTATCACAGATCCCTGGATTTTGTGATGGAGGGATGGGAACAACTATTCCTGGTGTGCATGGCCATGTGAATTGCGATGTACTAGTTGGTTACAAAGCCGTGTACCGTGTGTGCTTTGGCATGGCCATGTTCTTCCTTCTCTTCTCCTTATTGATGATCAAAGTGAAGAGCAGCAATGACCCAAGAGCAGCGGTGCACAATGGGTAAGATACAGAAATGAGAACTGGGATGGGCGGTGTGTCCATATGAGATACAGCTACTGTGACAATAAAGCCTGTGGCTGAGCACACTGGTCAAATCTACTGTTCCACAAAGAATTAATTTCGTAGTAGCTAGAGGAGTGTTGTTGCAGTAGAGGGTGTTCAAAGTTATTAGTTCTTAGACATGGCAGATTAATTTTTGCAAGAGGAAAAGATACACATGGCTGTCACTTTTCAGAGCCTGAACTCTGACAATGGATAATCTGTCCAGAGGTTTCCCAAGATTAGAGATTCTGCTTTTGTCCAAAGATGACAAAATTCAGAGGTGAATAATGGTAACTAAGTTTCATTCCACTGAGATTTTTTTCAACAAATAGAAAGATTAAAAAGCCTCATCTGTCCTCTAGGAATTACATTCCTCTTCACTTTGATGTTTGTAAGGGCTTGCTCGTTTCTGAACAGCTTTATTTTAAAGATCCTAACAGTTACATGTATCTATATAGATATATAACATATCTCTTCCCCCTCTGCTATCTTTTCTTCGGTCTCCCCTCTGCATAAAGAAGAGTGAGTTATGTATTTAGTTTCTGAACTTTCCAGAAAATTTTTCTTTTCTATTTCATTGTAGTTAGGATTATCAGATGGAAGATAATAGTGGAATTTCAGCTTGTGGGTTGACACAAGTGGTAGTTTTCATCCAGGCTCAGCCTATGTGTAATGTAGCTTCTTGAACCAAGGAGATGTAAATATTTGTAGTAGGGCACGGCACTAAAAAGCATAAAACCATTTATGGTGCCTAGTCTTAGTGGTCACAGTGATTGCTTAGACTACTACTTTTTCAACATGATTATATTTAACAGAAGCTATGAACAGCTAAGCAATAAAAATGAAGAAGTCACTTTATATTCAGTATAATAAGATTAAACGTTTCTAGCGTAAAATGAGAAAAAACTTCAATGATTTCTGTAGGGGAAAAGAAAATAATTAAGACTGAGCAGAACATTGCTTTGTTTACTTCTTTTGTTTGTTTTGGTCTAATGAAAAAGAGGCTGGTACAGTTTTAAGATGCGTTAGCAGCAGTAACTCAGCTCAGCCTTTCCCTCCGCCCTGCTTTGTTCAGGAGAGCATACTTGTTACAAGCAAGAAGAAAATGGTTCAGGTACATTCTGTATCAACACTGTGTGTTTTTACAATAAAAGACACCTTTTACATGATGTGGAATCTTTTTACCTAAAACTGCTTCTTAAGTGTTTGGGATCTTCTTGATACCCTTATCTGGAGTTGTGCTCTCCAGTACAAATTTTGGAACTATTTATGCAGCCCATAGCAGTTCACTCTTCTTAGCCAATCTAGCGTCACCGCTAGGATAACAGGAAAAATGATACTCGTTAACTGTTAGTGCTAAAATATTTAATAATGTTGCTTCCAACACTTCTGTAATGACTAGTTGCTTCAATAGTATGCATTACAGGTAGCTTTATGAAAACCATGGCTTTTGATTTTTGAAATTGTATGTATCTTCAGTAATACTTTGCAATGTAATCTTTCCGTCAGTGATTTGAAATATTCAGGATATTAAGTTTTTCCATGTATGTGTACTAACTTTTTCATGCTTGCATGCAAGTTAAGCCCAGTAATGTGGTCCAGTGCCAATGTTCACCTTCTTTGCTTTTTAACAGCAGTCAGAATGGTTTCTTGCCTCAGGTTAATAGTAATAATAGAAAAAATCAGTTACAATGTATTCACAGGATTGTTGCTGGCTTGCACAGAATGCATAGCAACTGTGGGTGTTATTTCAGATGAGTATTGTTTTCAGCTGTCATGCACGTTATATGGGTAGAGTGTTAAGATCCCTTAAAGTCTGGAATGAGAGATGAAATTTTTACAAACTTGAACCTGTTCTTATTTCTATAATTGAGAATGAAAGTGATTTAAAAAACCTAAAATTCCACATGTGGATTCAAAAACTAGTTTTAGTGGGGTATGTATTACACCATAAATGTTATAAGTTAATTCAGCTTTCAAACTGGGTTTAGTCAGTTCTCTGTATCCCAGGGAATTAGTCCATTTTTCCCATATTCTGCACTTCTGTCATCTCACATAGTTCCTCTCCACACAGTTGGAATTTATTCCTCTGGTCACCATCACCTGATTGTAACAGCCAGAAGGAGAGATTAAACTTGTTCAAAGTATGGAAAAATGACAAGAGATAGAAAACTTGAAAACCGTGCAAGTGTTTGACGTCGCAGGGGTGTGGTACATGTCTCTGTGCTATATTCAGTTTTGAAGTACGTGTAGATGGTACAGTGCCTGTATTTGGAGCTCCCTGTCACTGTGATCAGAAAAAATATTTTTCGCCTTCTTATAGTTTTGTTGGCGTAACTTTTTGACTTGAAGTTCCCTATGCGGGGTGTATTTGTACACAGTCTGTATTTGGGGTGGGTTTGGTGTATCTTTGGTGGAAGATATTTCCTTGTCTGCTTTCTGGGAAGCATCTGATCTGTTTTGCTTGTCCATGAGTGTGTATCTTTTACTGGGAAAAAAAAAATAAAATCCAGTGCTACTGCACTGGAACAGGGACTTAAAATTTGATTGTGTCCTTTCTGTGAAGGATAAATCCTTTGCTTTTGTTGTTGTGATTAAGTCCTCATCAGACGTAGGCCTAAAGAGTCTGAAGTTAGGTGGGAAGAATCCAGGCTTTTGTACATCTCTCTCTTGTAGGAAATGAATCAAGACTGGTAGGGAACTCCAGCATAATGTCTCTGTCATTGTAGGCACCAGATCTTCTACCTTTTTGGTTTTGATATTAAAAACAGGTAGGGATTTTTTTAACCTGATTTTCTGATTTGTAGGCAGTTCAGTAATCTCACTGCTCTAGTTAAAAACCTTCTCAAAAAACCAACCAACCAAACAAAAATACCCAACTCACAATTATATTCCACGCTGGCTTCATTTGTAATAAGCGAGTGAGATATCTCTGGGAAATGTGTCAAACTCTGTGTCAGTCTAGCACAGCTCAAGCATAATTTTCTGGAGAACAAAAATCTTGGGCAGATGAAGTAGGATAAAAATTAAAAGAAGTGAGTTAAGAATGAGTGAATTAAAAAAAGAAACAAACACTTAAGGATGTGCATTTTGTGTTCTTTCAAGTTTTTGTGAATTAGATCAGACTTAAGCAGTTGCCTGACTTTTTTTTTTTTTTTTTTAATTTCCCTTTAGATTCTGGTTCTTTAAATTTGCAACAGCACTTGCAATTAGTGTTGGAGCTTTCTTCATACCAGAGGGACCGTTTACAACTGGTAAGGGAATATTGTCTTCCACTGTATCATGGTGCAATCATAACTGGTTTTAAAACAAAACTAAGTGCATGCTGATGTCTTATCGTTTTAATTGTAGCTGTGTAACTATAGCACTTTTCTGTGTTTAGGGACATTAAGACAGGGTGGTAAATTATCTATGGTTCTGAGCTGGTTTTGTTTTATTTCTCTTTTAGTGTGGTTTTATGTAGGTATGGCTGGAGCATTCTGCTTTATTCTTATTCAGCTGGTCTTGCTTATTGACTTTGCCCACTCCTGGAATGAATCTTGGGTTGAAAAAATGGAGGAAGGAAACTCAAGGTGCTGGTATGCAGGTAAAGGACTGTACTACAATCAAGTTTTAAATTTCATTGTGCATTATGTTAAATAAGTTATTCACCGAGTAGTGCATTTTACCAGAGTGCAGAAGGGCTGCTTCGTGCATAAGTATCATTTTCTCAGATGGTGTAGTTCAGCTCCATTGTCTTGCTGTCCTTTTGATGTCAAGTTAAATAAAGAGGAGGAGGGTAGGGAGAGGGGCAGCAGCCTCTTGAGTTACAAGATCTAATCCCTGGAAGCAGGCCATCAGTTTGTGATAGCAGAGAAGTCGCAATTGTGGGGTTTGTTTTTTTTTTTTTTTTCTTTTTTCAGCCACAGGTTTTGTTACACCTTAGCGCAGATTAAAAACAAACTAGTCTGTTACTGCTTCATGTTGAGCATAAGCATCTCAAATAATTGTTTTTTCTTTCTGTCTGCCGGTCAGTCATTCTTCGAAGGTATACCCTGAGTGAAAGGCCAAGATAGTGATGGAGAGTACAAGTCATCTCACTGGAGAAATGATATGTTAATTTTAATAAAACGTTTCAGATGTGATAATTTAGGTGTTTTAAAAGACAGCACACCCTGTCTTCGTGCAATGGCCACTTCAGTCTCTAATGTTTTTAATAAGATGGAATTTGGAAATAAGATTTTGTTTTTCCTTCTGTTGGAGAAGTAGTTCTTCAGTTTCTTTTTTTTAAGCTTTTAGCCAAAGTGTAGTATGTAGTATAACAGTATTCCTTCATACTTGCTCTTCTTGGTTGCTGTTAGAGCACTGGAGAATCAAGTATGGCTTCGGGCTTCCCATTTATTGTGTTCTTTCTTTTTAAGACCTCAGAGTATTGAGAAGAACTTACTTCCTTTACATTTCAATGCCCAGAGCTGCTCTCTAATTGTCATTGTATACCGTATCCAAAAACCTGATAATCGTGCAATATTATTTCAATTTTAATACTCTCCATTATTAACCAGTTTAACTCTGTTTTTGTCTCTTTTCACAGCTCTGCTGTCAGCTACAGCTGTCAATTACCTGCTGTCTCTAGTAGCAATTGTCTTGTTTTATGTTTATTATACTCATCCAGAAGGTTGTTCTGAAAACAAGACATTCATCAGTGTTAATATGCTGCTGTGTATTGGTGCTTCTGTAATGTCAATTCTGCCGAAGATTCAGGTATAGTTTTAATTCTGTTACCTTTTAGGGGTGGGTTTTTTTGTGTTATCAGTCCTAGAAACCTATAATATTATTGTGCCCGAGACTTTTAATTGCCTAACTTTGCTGTTTCATGACTACTTTGTATAGGAATCTCAGCCAAGATCTGGTTTGCTGCAGTCTTCTGTGATCACAATTTATACAATGTATTTGACTTGGTCAGCTATGACCAATGAACCAGGTAAGTGTAGTAGCAATATATGGCTTTTTGGGTAACCAGTTCAGCAGTAAATTGTATCTTTACCTTTTTGCAAGGCAATATTACAATGGGGTACTATAATGCATGCAAGTTAGAGGCAGGACTCATTAGTTTGTGTTCTCTCCCCCCCCCCCCCAATTATCTGTGATAATACCGAAGAAATAGTTCTTCCAAAGATAATGTGTTTTTCACTTGCTCTTAAGTTTTATCGTATGGAAGAATTCCAACCTATTATTGGCAGAACTGCAGTATGCTAAGGCTTAGACTTTGCAGATTACCACAACTCTTCCAAGGTGTCTGGGAGGTTCATCTCCCTACCAAGTTTCAAGTTTCTTACCTGGTGACTGAGATGCTACTGATGATATTTTTCTGAACTGAGGATTTTAAAAAATGTATCAATAAATGTTTTCAATGTTTCTTGTGTCTGAAAACAGCTAAGCATCTCTTAAAAAAAAAAAAAAAGTTTTTTCAGAAATTCTGGTGATTAAAATAAACTGCCAAATACTGATTTTTTTTTTTTTTTGGTGTTTTTAATTGGGTTTCTGGCCCTTTTATCTTAATTATGGACAATCTTTTGTGCTTCTGTGTAACAGCATACATATGAGTCATACCTAATTCCTGCAGTAATTATGGGGAAATAAGATTGTCTGCTACTTTCAGCTGTTTCGTCTGTGTTATCTGTGGATGCTGTGAGTTGGGAACTGTTGATAATACGAAACTGACTTTGTAGCATTCTTTTCCAACTCTGAGATGACTCTGGTACCCCATCTATAGAGTATATGTTTGTCAAACTGGGTTTCTAGTGGTAGAATTTCTAAAGCTTAATATGCAGAGCACTTTTATTGCATCTAATTATATGAGACGGAACAGTAAAGCAGTTGATGCATATCTTATATAAGTTTAAAATCCTTTTATCTGCTCAGGGAGACAGATTTTTATGCCACATGCTGTCGTTGGCCTGCTTTAGAGAGACTCAATAGGCTAAAATTAGATTCAAAGCTTTTTTACTTCAAGACTGTCACAGTCACAAAGTTCCTTTCTATTACTGTGTATTCAGCGTGGAAATGTAATACTAAATATTTGTTCTGTTCTTGTTTTATGTAAGTTTTAATGTAACTTCCCCCACAGATAGGCGCTGTAACCCAAGTTTGCTGAGCATCATTGGTTACAACAGCACCACCGTTCCAACCCAAGGTCAGGTAGTTCAGTGGTGGGATGCACAAGGAATCGTAGGACTGGTCTTGTTTTTGCTGTGCGTTCTTTATTCAAGGTAAGATTCCTTTAAAAAAATTCCTACTAACTTGTATTACTTCTCATTGTCAGATACTAGATTGTATTTATTTGGGTAACTGTACTGTGTCCTTTCCTGTCAAATACAGCATCCGAACATCCAACAACAGCCAAGTTAACAAGCTGATGCTGACCAGTGATGAATCAACGCTGATAGAGGATGGCATGCCCAGGAGTGACGGCTCCCTTGACGATGGAGATGATGTTCACCGAGCCATAGATAACGAGAGGGATGGAGTTACTTACAGTTACTCCTTCTTTCATTTCATGCTTTTCCTGGCATCACTGTATATCATGATGACGCTTACCAACTGGTACAGGTATTTACGTTTGATAATATATTGTGCTAATAATGAGCATACAAGACGCTATCTTTTGCTGGACAAGGAGGCGTAAGTGGTGTGCTGTGGGGAATGGAGGTCTTGAATGGACTTCTCAAGGGAAGTATACTGTTTGATCTATATTAAATGAATTGCATTGGAAAATTGGAGTAGCCAACCTTGTTCACAAGTGCCTGTCATATTTTCTAGGCTAATTCTCATGATTCACAGGACTGCTGAAACACGTCGTGCTGAAGTGAACAGGATAGAGTCTTAAATTCTATAACAACTAAAAATAAGTAAACATGAGGCCCATGTCTGGTACAAAGAGCTGGAAAAAGGAGAGATAGGACATGTTATATCAGCAGGTCGAAGGAGAGATGATCCTTCCCCTCTACTCAGCACTGGTGACCACACCTGGAGTGCTGGGTCCGGTCCTGGGCTCCCCAGTACGAGAGAGACATGGACATACTGGAGAGAGTCCAGCGAAGGGCCACAAAGATGAAGAAGGGACTGGAGCACCTGTCGTATGAGGAGAGGCTGAGAGAGCGGGGACTGTTCAGCCTGGAGAAGAGAAGGCTCAGGGGGATCTCATCAATGTATATAAATAAATACCTGAAGGGAGGGTGCAAAGAGGACGGAGCCAGGCTCTTTTCAGTGGTGCCCAGTGACAGGACCAGAGGCAGCGGGCACAGACTGAAACACAGGAGGTTCCCTCTGAACATCAGGAAACACATTTTTTTATTGAGGGTGACTGAGCACTGCGCAGGTTGCCCAGGGAGGTTGTGGCGTCTCCATCCTTGGAGATATTCAAAAGCCGTCTGGGCATAGTCCTGATTAGCTGGCTGTAGGTGTCCCTGCTCGGGCAGGGGGGTTGGAGGAGATGACCTCCAGAGGTCCCTTCCAACCTCTCAGCCATTCTGTGACAGGGTCTGGTGGAAGAAAATGAGGTGGTCTGCTCCCTGAAATAAACCCTCATGATAAAATAGTCCTCCTGTGTGTGAATTGTTACTATGTTTAGCAGCTTGAGCAGATGTTCTTCAGAATTGAAAAATATAAAGTATGGTCTCTAATAATTTGCTAGAGGACAATTTGTATCAAAATAGCAACACTAAAAGGTGTTTCCTTCAAAAGTAACTCTTGATAGATAGGTCTGCTGTGGATTTGATTTCTGGCCCTGCTTGGGTCAATATAACATCAAGATTATTAATTCTTCTAGGTGTTGTCTTTCGGCCAGGTAAAATGCATTATTTGTATCTATAAATGCTATCCATTTCCTGCCTTTCCACAGATTTGCTTAGAGATTCGTCATAATTATTTCTGCTTCTTGGCAGCTTCTCTTACTAAATATTTTTTGGGCTGCTGTTGCTTTCCCCACCTTCCTGTGACACCAACTTACAAATGGTGTTCCTGTACAGATTGGTGTGAACTGCCCGGAAGAAGGGTAGAGATGTCCTTTGAGGTGTGGAGCTGAAGTGAAAATGATCTGCTGTGAAAATAGTGTTGGAGAGTGGCTTACTACACTAGTATGTCATACTGAAACAAAAATTGCAAACTTTCTTTTTTCTTCTCCTTCTCTCACAGTCCGGATTCTTCTTATGAGACGATGACCAGCAAATGGCCGTCTGTCTGGGTGAAGATATCTTCCAGCTGGATTGGCATCGTGCTGTACGTGTGGACTCTGGTTGCTCCGCTGGTTCTTACAAACCGTGACTTCGACTGAGCTGTGCTGCTCTCTAGGGCGATTGTGCTAGCTTCACCGTGTCTTCGAAACAAACAGTATTCCAGATAATAGTGCAGTTGTGAATGCGTGTGCACACGTGTGCGTGTGCTATCCGTGTAGTATACCCTGCTTTATTCTGCATGATTACCTTCAATCATGTCTTTTGTCATTTCACTAAATGACTTTTTCTAGCTGAGCTCAGTGGCAATTGCTATAATGACAGTTTTCATAGGATTACTCCTAGATTGAGTGCTTCGGGAGCATTAGATGCAAGATCAAGACCTTTTGGAAGTAGGTTTTTTTTCCCTCTCAGTTGCATTAAATAGTTGTAGGAAAAAAGGTGCAAGTGTTAATTAGGGTAACAAAACAGTATTAGATCAGGCTTTGCGAGCAAAGGAGGGGGCTGCCTTTGATCCCTGTTGCCTTGATTCCAAAGTCGGTCTTGAGTACGCATTTGTTAGGCTCAAAGTTGTGCATGTTGGAGTTTACTGGACGTCTTGCAGCATTTTGGCACTAGCAGCCTGACCTCTTCCCGTTCTGAGGGCAGCAACACCTTTAGCACAGATGTTAAATGGGGAAAACTTGCACCTGAAGCTGCAGGGGAGCTGGTGTCCTCCCTCCTTGGTGCCGTTGGGTCCGATGTGTCCCGTTGCAGACAGGGGGACGGACACCCTGGGGAAAAACATCCTGGTATCAGATGCTCAGAAGCATGTTTTTAAGGCACCTGTTTACAATGCGCATCTATGTATTATTATTATTTTTATTTTTTTTTAAAGTAGTTTAAATGGGATAGCTGTGCTGTAATTTATTGCTGTTTTGTGTGCCACTTTCTTTCTTGGCTAAGCTACAATCACAGAGTTTGCAAGGAGCCAAGCGGTGAAAACTGTGTAAGCCCTTTAGAGGAATTTTTTGAGTACTGTGGTTAAAAAAGAAGTGGAGGAAAAGGAGCACTGAAATTACAGTAACTGAAGGAGGCTTGCATCGACTGAAGCTTCAACAAAAGTGCTTCTTAATATATTTGGGGCTCTAAATTTTGAAATCTTTTAGTGTATAAGGTACTTTGCTCATTGTCCATTGCCAGAGATGGACTTGAGCCTGCAAAGTCTAAATCTAGGCATGAGGTAAGACATTAATGTTTGATTAAAATACTGTATAGTTCCTGTGCAGTTATGAAATCTTAAATGCTTTTGTGCTCGCTGGTTTGTAATTGAAGTATGTAAGCTGCATTATTTCTCTCTCTGTTCCTTGCCACAACTTGAGACTAGAGCAGCCTGACTGGGAGTGACCCTAGAGCCTTCGGCAGATGTCATGCTGATCTGTTACCGTGGTGTTTATACTGTTACTTCCTGTTGCTAATTATTCTCCAAGCTTTTATTTCAATTCTGCACCTAAACACTGACATTTACTGCAGACGTCTGACATGTTGGTCAAACTTGAGATGGTAATGGAAGGATTAGTACAGGCTTGTAATAATTTGGAATATGTTGTTACCCTATTAATAAATAAATTTGGATGAAGATGTCCAGTGACTTTTGATGTCTCATACTACCGCCAGACAGGGATAGTGTTGGGTTTTATATTGTATTCTCATCTTCTGTTCCTGGGATGTTTTATAGCACTTGTCATCTGAGAAGTAACAGCTGACAGTGCCGCACAGCACGCCTGCACGGCTGTCAGTTCCTGGCTCTTTGGGAGATCACGTGTAACCCCCCCACCCCATGAAGTCTTCTGGCAGTTCTCCTCTGTGCCCTTTGCATCCATCTCTGGAAACGCAAACGTGCTTCACACTTGTAACTGCATTCCTGCTTCATCAACTGCTGCGGCATTGTATTGCACCTGTGCTGTTCATGTTCAGGTGAAACACCTGAATGCCCGTTTTAAGGCAGCAGCTCCAGGGTCCTGTAACAAATAACTAGTCACTGGATTGGGACGATGAACAGACAGCTGTGTCTATGGATTCAGCTCCTTGTACAAGTGGCTAGAGTCCTCCTTTTAAAAAAAATAAAAAGGAAATTGAGTGCAGTGCCAGGTGTTTTTCCTGTTGCGTGTATGAAGTTACTAAAATCCAGTTCCTCCCTTCCCTGGAGCTTCTCAAAGCTCCCTACCCACGGCTTTGAGGGCAGAGAGGGAAGAAAACTTTTATCTTCAGTTACAGTTTAACTTACCATTTATATTAAATCAGGAGCTCAGGGTGAGATGATTTAGTTAAAAGTGTGTCAACGGCACTGTCGCCCAGTGTTGTGGTAACCTCTCTGGCATTCAGCTGTGTAGTACAACTACAGTTAAGTTGACTTTGGTAACGGCAGCAATGGGAACACAGCTTTTGAGTAGGGGTAGCGCTCTTCCACAGGAAGGAAAGCTACAGGCCTCTGCCACAGTTTGGAGAAAAAAGCTTTTGCAAAGTACTAAAGGAAAACCCAGTTTGACGCATTAGCTACTTGTTTTGGAGGCTTATAAACAAGCCTCGGAGATGATAATGAAACTGTTTTCCTACAAACGTGCATAGAAGCAGACCTCGTTGCACTGCTACTCAGGCATGAAAAACAGGCTGTTAAATCCACAGCCGCTTGGCACACGGAGCAAGAGACAAGTCTCAACAAGCGTCACACTTAAGCAACATTTATTTTGTCAGAGTAGATGGTCCAAGTTAAAAGTACTCATGCAGTCAAGGGGCCTGGCGGCTGTAAAGAACTTTTCCCCAGTTTGTGCTATGTGTGAGCACTTCCGCTGAAGTGAAAGTAAGGCAGAACCAAGATTTAGCAAGGTACAGGCACTTTGTTCCCAGTTCAAGCAGGGAAAAAAAAAGCCTACATCAGGTCCTGGTCCCCTCCACCCCAGAACAGCCTCATGTTTGTTAAAACAAAATGTTGTAAAAAATAGAAAAAACCCAAGATACAGAAAGTCAGTGCTCCCTAACCACACACTACTAGTTACGTCATCATATGTAAGACCAGAAGTATAAGAAATCATAAATCAAAGCTTACTATTAACAAGTGTTCAGTTACCTGGGATATTTAGCAATATGTATTATGATACCAAGTACGTGACAGCAGTACAGTAACAGTCTGACTTGGTACCACCAACTGTGTCTAACAGCTTGTCTAACCACGTCGTTAAACAATCGCTTGTAGGAAGTAACACAGGAAAGGTATTTTAGATTCCACGTTACCTGGTTACATAAAACGGTGATTTACAAAAAACTCATATACCAAACAATATTCTAAATAAATAGTTCATCTTCGTGACTATATACAGAGTCCCCGTTCCATTAGTTATCCAAGAACGGCATGTCCGTGTCCATGGGTGCTGGGGCAAGTTCACATAGATAGAACAGCGTGGCTTCGCTCGCCTCTGCCTCCGTCAGCGGCTCCAGCCGCACCAGTTTGCTCTGGGTGGGCTCGGGATCCAGGCTGCTCTCCAGGAGCTCGTCCACTTCCAGCGGTTTGTCAACAGAGGAAGGAGTTTCGGCTGCAGAGCTCCCGCTCTCAACGGCAGAGCCTGGGTTCCCATCGAGGAATGCAAGGAGTGGAAACGCAGTGTACTGTATGAGCTGCTTATCTAAGGGGAAAAAAATTCCCAAAACGTTACCGGTTCACATGCCTTTCTATGTGCAGAAGGAAAAAGCAAAACCCAACCCACAGAATTTATTTGCAGAATAATTAATAAAAAACATTAGAGGTGTTTGTTTTAAATGCTTGATTAAAGAATTGTTACATTCATGTGTAACATTATTTGTTCAGATTCTCCTGTGAAAACATCAGTTCCTCTGCACCTGGTGCAGTGCCAAAAACCTAAAAAGCAAATACAGCAAGTATTTTGCTTTGGTTATTTGCTTACCAGCATGACACAAAACCAGACAAAGAGCAAGTAACTGAGACGGTTTTTAGAACGATGCCTGTTCAACTGTTAAACTGTTTCACCAAAACACTACAACTAACCTGATTTGGGCTTAGAAACTTGTGTTTCCTGTGAAGCCGCTGGACCAGCATTGTTCTTGGTAGTTTCTATTCCCTTTGTCTCCATCTGGAAACAAAAGCGAAGTCTTAAAACACACACTTAAAGTCTTTTCCAATGCCACTAGAACACAGCTGACCAACTATTTAAAAAATCTAATTTTTATCTGCGAAGGGATGCAGTGCTATCGGTTACCCATGCTAACAGACCTTGGCTGAGAAAATGTGAAATGGAAACACAGGCTTACTCAAGCAAGAACCAAAACTAATGCTCATAAATGAAGAGGACAAATTCAAAGAGCTAGATCTTTGCTCTACTGCTTTTTACTGTGCTGCTTTTCCCACCAGACCATACAGATGAAACCATTCTGACAAAGTGTGTACCATGTCTGCAAGTACTAAAATCTTAGAGGATACAAAAGTCAGGAGACCGGTACAATGTACAGGTATTGGCCTCAAGGTAATATGAGTTTTAAAGGACATTATTAATTAGCGTGCTTTTCCCTTTTCCGTATAAAACCTAACAAACAGGATGAATTCGGCTGCAGCCTTCCTATTCTCATGGAATTCTTCAAAGCCAGAGCATGAAAAAAGTGCTATTATACCAGTAAAGAAAACAGTAATGGATGAATAAAAGTTTGCATCTCTCACTACTGTGTACATTGAGCAATGGATTTAAGACTTACTTTGGTATTAGTGATATGATCTGTGGGATTCATCTGCACGGAGCTTGTAAAAAGCTGAATAAGACAAAACACATCAAGTTTTAGGTATCTCGATGTTGCTAGTAAGAATACAAGAACATCACATCTGCATGTGTGAGACTATTCCCTATACTTAACGTTTTCACCCTCTATCAGGATTAGAGTTTATTTACAGGTAGTTACCAACTTTTGCAAAGAAAACCTGGCTCTGGAGCGCAACGGTTTGGAATTCCATGAACCTCAGTCACAAAGGAAACAACTATATTACATCTAACTTAGACTAACACGGCTTGCTGCAGTTGTAGAATACTGATTCCTTCTTGCGTTGCTGCGTGGAGAATTC